TAATACTATTAGCCTAATTTAAAGATAAGGTGGCATTGGATCTGGACGGTAAGGAGAATAACGCTGGGAGTTGGAAGTGGTGTGTCGCTATTCTGTAGGTTCGTGGATCTGAGTGTGGCGAATCGCGATTTCGGTTTCATATTGCATATCGTTACAGCCCCAAAGTTAAAGGGCACCTATTATGGAAAATTCACTTTTACATGGTGTTTGAACATAAATGTGTGTTGGCAGTGTGTGAGCAAAACCACCCTAGAATGATAAAAATCCACCCAGTGGTTTTTTTACAATCTCAATAAATCATATGCACTGCCTCAGAACGAGCTGTTCTGAGATTCAGCTCTTTGTGACGTAGAACGGGAGACAGGGGGTTGATTGACAGTGTGGCTGTGGCCTAGACCCCGCCCTCGGTGATCTGTACAGTGTACACATCATCATCCTCCATTACCTGTTATGTCTCTTGGAAACATAAGTGTTCTGTCGTGGACTCGTGGGTTAATCCTGTTGTTGTAGCTTAAAAGTTAATCCTCAACTGTGGAATCCTCATCTACTGTTTGCGATCCACCGTCACATCCAGTAACAGTAAGTGTGTTTTATGATTTTTGAGCAAATAGTCTTTTCAGTCAATGTCAGCCAATTCAACAACAAATGCGTCTAAAGTTGTTGTCGTCGTAGGATGTCTGTGTAGGCTATATAATTTAAACCTTGTTTGTATAGTGTGTAACCACACGTTTATATATATATAAAGATATTGTATTAAAACTGCATATATGTTGTTGTTCTGTATGTTAGCCATCTCCTCACATTTGCCACATAAGCACCCGTATGACAAGTAAACATGACGCCACAGGTCCCCGTCCCTCGCATAAATGTAATTTCGCTTGTACGTAGCAAACTTTATCACAGTGTATGTAATTTCAAAAAAAATGCGCCAGCATTAGTGTTTAATGTGTCTGTGTGTGTGTGTTGCACATGCCCATCATTTCAAAGGGAACACGATTACAACGCTAAAGTACATAAATGTATCAAATAACCATACCGAGACGTACTGGTCCATTCTCATTTGTGTTTATTCTGCTGGAGTCTCTTCGTGCAATTTTTTATATTTCGATTCAAACGTACGCTGAATGACATTCAAAACAGCGCGTCTCTCACTCTCTTAGCCCTTCTGCTTACCGACTGCCATAGGTATCAAGTTACGCCCTCATCCAAAGGCAGGGCGGGGATATGCAGCTCATTTGCATTTAAAGCCATATACCTCCGAAACAGGTCATTTTTAAGCAGGCCCCAAAATGACATTTTCAAATGGTTATAATAAATTAACTGTGGGGTATTTTGAGCTGAAACTTCACAAATACATTCTAGGGACACCAGAGACCAATATTACATCTTGTAAAAAGGGGCATAATAGGTGCCCTTTAAGTTCTACTTCTGTATAGTTATTTTGGTGAAAGTAACTCAAAAGTAATACATGAGTAATGTAACGCATTACAATTCTGAGACAGTAATATTGTAAGATAATGAATTACTTTTAAATAACAGTAACAAGTAATACCTTACAGTTTGGAAGTAACTTGCACAACACTGGTGTATTGAGAATGAGGAGTCACGTGCCGATTTGGGCGTGGTCTGAGCCGGTCGGCCATGATGGTAGGAGACGGTTACCAGGGGCAACACCTTTAGAACCCATAGACGCGACTAAACATTCCAGAGCTCTTTAATTTTCGCGCATTTATTATTTTGGCAGAACAGAGACGGCAATACGAGAAAAAAAGGAAGAAAGTAAAGCAATGCTAAAAGAAAGAAAAGGGACCTTACAGGAACAAACTCACACAAAGTGCAAAACAGCTGTATTTGGAGAAGCACCATAATATATTTGTTCTTTTGCACTAATAACAGTATTATTATTTTATTATTACTTATTTTGTCCATGAAACATGTTGTCCAAATAGCCTATATATTTCAGTTCTCGATAAATATTGTTAGGCCATATCAAGTTGTTTCAAACATTTAAAAGTAAAAGAATTTTTTAATTTGGTGCCCTCTTGACCGAGAAAAGACAGAAAATAACCAAGGGGCGCATATGAATAGACTACAGGTCCCAGAATGCCCCGCATTGTCTCCGCAAGCCACACCCACTAATCCGGAACAAACAGAGAATTCACTCTTCCGTCTACAAGGCTAACATTAGCTATCACCAGAGTTTGAAATTCATTTCACACAACATGTCTAGTTGGCTGTGGCGAGCAGGACGATCGAGGGCGAGGCACATAAGAGGACAGTGCGCCACGCAAGGCTGGTGGCGTGAGTGATAACAGACTAAACAGAGACTATTTGGTGATAATGAAAGACACCCGTGAGGCGCTCGCCGATCCCGCGTCTCTCACGGAGAAGCGAAAGCATAAAACGGGGAGCGACGACGGCAGATCGAGAGAGAAACAGGCCTGATTTTATGAAGTTTTGTTTCTGTTGTGTGTAACGTTACAGCAGTCGTCAATGAGGGGCTGCTGGCTTTGGCTTATACTTTTGTTTTGTATTTGTTCATTTTACTATTAAAATGTTTAAATGTTCGCCGGTTCCTGCCTCCTTCTTCCCACAACAACAAACCCCGTTCATGTTACATTGGCAAACTTTAAGTGAATTACTCCTCGTTTGTATTTATTTCTGTTTGGTGAATTACTGCATGTTACCTGGATGTTTAGTCAGGCTAAACTATCACAACACAAACATCCGTGTGCTCGTCTGATTCAGAGATTTCCTCCAGGAGAAATTGCCATCGTTGAAATTCTCTGCAGCAGACGGGCTGTGTCCGTAGGCCGTAGCACGCAGCGAGAGCACGGACACCAGCAAGCCGCCCAGCGCCAGAGTCAGTGCGGGGTCCTCGACCGCGACAGGCCGCCGCCTCGGCGTCTCCTGCTCCTCCATCAGCCTCAGCTGCTCTAAACTATACTGCGGCTCGTAAAGATAGCCACGAACATCGGATTCGAGCAGCAGAACTTCAAAATCCTCTTCTTCCATATCATGTTTAGTTTCTTCCGTCATTGTCATAACTAACTATCTCCACAGCACTTATTAGCTTAGCTTCCAAACAAGATGGCGGATATTGATTTCAGTTTCTGCAAGTGAAGTCCCACCCAATGATCTGTAATAGGCTTGTAGGGTGAGTGGGTCCAACACCCTGTAATAATAATGAGCTAATATATGTAGTTCTAAAGATTTTAATGAAATATGACTTGCTGCTTATCGTGACGCAAAATGCCGATTTTTACGTCACGATAAGCAGGAAGTAAAACACTTAAATCCTTATTTCTCCCATCTCAGAGGAAAATAAGGGAATAAACCATGACCATTCAAAAATATGACTGGGTTTCTAAAGATACAAATCTTAATGCAAATGGGTGAAGTGACCCTTTAACGCAGCAGTTACTTCCAGGCATGGTAAAACAGTGCGGTATTGTGAGAAACTCCTCTACTACCAAGCTAAAAACACACGTAAACAATACTGTTTTGCCGTGGGAATCCTACCAACATGGCGGAGAGGGGAGGGGCTCTGTAAAATGACGTCAACTCCTCATTCTCAATACCGCGAAATGTAAATAAGTGGGCGTGGTTAACTCCCATGCAGCGCGCATGAGACTGATGCTGAGATTTGTCAAAGAAACATGGAGAAAGCAGATCAAGAGGATCCACAAAGGAATTACATTTTCTAAAGGGTTGTTGTTAACGTGATCTGTTCGGGGGGAAAGGTAGCCGTCAACTAGAGCAGAGCAGCAGCACCCAGGCTACAGTTTAGACGAGTGCACGTTCGCAACGGGGAAAGCATGAAGTTACTTGATACAACATTTAATAGGCTATATCAATATCATTACGAATAGAAATAACCTTAAATAATGTATAGTTATCCGCATCTTTCCTTCTCTTATGTATAGTTACTTTTTAAACATGAAAATCGCATTCAGCATGAATGAACATCCTGCTTGTTAAAACGAATGTAATCCTGTTTCTGAGGCAAAATTACTAAATATGCAGCGCGAGTTATATATTTTTTAACTCCAAACAATTGCCTACTGAACCAGTTGATAAAATCTTCCTTTGATTCGATCCGTGATTACAACTTGACTCAAATTAATCGATCGCATTTTGTTGATGCAAAAGACGCGCGCCTGCACATGCACTGAGAGGGAGCGCGCGGTGTTCACAGGGCTATGGTCTAATAACGACGCGCTGTTATAAGGTGTGTATAATTTAAACTTGGTCAACACTAACAGTAGCTGCGGTTTGGTTTTCATATTGCTGCTCTCCTTCTAGTCACTTCTGAACTTGATGAACTTGACTCTTCTGGGCCGGGTTTTCGATAACGATGTATTTTAGCTTTTAAGAACGCTCTCTACGTGTAAGGTTACGAACGATCGCAGCAATTCCACGTGCGTTTCCCAAAAATGCACTTAATATGAATGCGCGAGAACGCGTTCTACGTGCTACTTAAAGTCCCACTCCGATCATATTTTAAAGCTATTTTTAAACATTCCCAGTGGTCTTTAAATTATGATTATGCCATTTTTAGCCAAAATCACAAAACCTGTGCCGTTTTCTGGAACTTCACTTCAGCAGAGCAGCAGTAGCTCATTAGCAATTCGCCTCTGTGTTGTGGGCGGAGCCGATGGCACGGAGACGACCCTCCCCATTGCTGAGAGCTCTGTCTCTCCCGCTAGCATACACTTACAAATTATAAGCAACTCAAATGTTGTATTAATTTATTAGTTGTTGGGTCTTAAGTTCAGGCTATTGCTGTCTGATTCTGTTAGTTCACCTCACCTCCTGATCCGAGACATTCTTTCCTTTGCAACTTCAAATTTATCAGGTTTGTTCTCCTCCTCTCGTGTCTCGATACGTTAGCTGTCGACTCGTCAGTGTCTGACTCTGATCTGTGCTGGGCCATGCCGTGTGTGATACAGCAGGACCGGAAAGAGTAATGATTAGTTACTCGTTCTCACTCTCTCCAGAATCTCCACTTCTGTGCTTCTCAGAGAAAATGGAAAAACGGGTGTATGCTGGAACTAAACTATCACACTCTTTTGCTGCAAGCCCCCAGCAGGCCCCACAACCACCAAAGCCTGCGGGCACAGCTCGCCCTCCTCCTCCTCCTCCCCCTGATAGAGCTCTTCGGCCTCTGCCACGGCGCCAGGGCTCACACCCTCCTCCATCTGCTCGAGGTGAACCAAAAACAACTGATACCAACTCTAAATGATATGAGTCGGGTATCCGCTTTGATATCAGTAACTTTCTTAAATGTTTACAAAACAAGCGGGAACCCAGTGTGCCTGAATCCTTCTCTATAGCGGTTCAAATACATGATAGAAAATCTAAGGCCTTCAACAGCCGTACAGCAAACCCATCTAATCTGGTGTCCATTACACGCCAAAATAAGACTGCTGTGGGGACAAAAAGTAAGACTATAAAGTTAGCACTTTTAAACATCCGCTTACTTAAAAATAAATCACTTCTAGTCAGCGACTTAATAACCACATACAACTAGTGTTGTTTTTGGCGGCCTGTTTTAATTTTAGTTTTAGTCTAGTCTTTGTGTCAAGCTGACATTTTAGTTTTTGTTAGTTTTAGTCATGTTCATACTCTTTTTAGTCTAGTCTAGTTTTAGTCGACGAAAACTGATGACATTTTAGTCTAGTTTTAGTCGACGAAAAACCGATGACATTTTAGTCTAGTTTTAGTCGACGAAAACCGATGACATTTTAGTTTAGTTTTAGTCGACGAAAGACAGTCTAGTTTTAGTCAATGAAATTTGTATTTTAGTCTCTTTTTAGTAGGCAATTCTATTTAACCCAGTCAATATATAAGAAGCCTACCTAGTAGTAGGCTAGCCTATAGACTAAACCAATTTTTTTCTTTTAGCCAAACCCATTTCAAACAATCTTATCTTCTTATATTATTGTTACCTTATAGACTCAAGAATGCATCCAGGGAGACGCTCTGAATTGAATTTACAACATATTTATTTTACCAACCAAACATGTTAGTAGCCTACACACATGATGAAATTAAAGTTTTTCCAAATGTCATTTTTTCTTTTTCTCCCAAAGACGAATCCCTTTCTCTGTAACAGACTTAACTTTGTTTGTTGTCATTTATGCTAAAGCCTGTTTCACACATACTCATTTGCAGTGCGTATTTTTCCCGCACCCATGTTACAGTTATGATTAGCGCTCATACCGCGCGCTCTGAGAGCGGTGCGTGCATAACAGCAGAGCAGAGATCTACACACTACCTCAACAACGCGACAAAATGGATGTAGGCTAATTTAAAATACTGATTTGAAATAAAAAATAGAGGATAAATGTTGTGATTGTGGTACAGCCGTAGATCAGTTGCACACTGCAAACGCAGCACATGTTAAAGCAATAACGCGCGCTGCTCCTGCATACTGCAACACGCACCGCATACACGCTACACACGGAGGGTGTGTGAAACAGCTGTAACTCACGCAACTGCTTCTTCTAAATAATGCCACGAGTGGGGCTTGAGGATCTGAAGTCGCATGCGTTTGCACAGTGCGATCTAATGCAGCCTCTGAAGTGACACAGGAAACAGAAATGCTGCATACTAATAATGCAAGTAGGCTAAGCGAGACGAGATAATGTTAACATTTTGTCTCGTCTCGTTTTGGTCAACGAAAATGAAGAGACATTTTAGCATATTTTTTATTTTTGTAAACCACATTTAGTCTCGTTTTTATTCGTCAACGATATTGCATTATACATTTAGTTATAGTCATCGTCACACGACCAGCATTTACGTTGCGTCTCGTCTCGTTTTCGTCACGTGATAAAGGTTCGTTGACGATGATATTTAGTCATAATTTTCGTTGACGAAAGCAACACTACATACAACTTGGACTTTATGTTTCTAAATGAAACTTGGCTAGAAGACAGCTGCAGTGCAACGGTCTTAAACGAAACATCCCCTCCTAACTTTACTTATATGAGTGTCTGCAGAGCGGGTAAGAGAGGTGGCGGCTTAGCTGCTCTTTTTAAAGATGTTTTATGAATGTAAGCAAATCTCATTTGGGAATTACCCCTCTTTCGAATATCTGGGTATTGTGTTAAAAGGTGCTCCACGTATTTTACTTATCATTGTTTACAGACCTCCAAAATACTCTCCAGCCTTTGCTGAGGACTTTACAGAACTGCTATCAACAATTGCCTCTGAGTTTGACTGTTTTGCCATTGCTGGAGATTTTAACATTCATATAGATAATGCAGAAAACAATATGGCAAAATAAATCAAAACTTTTGATCTGACTCAGCATGTACATGGTCCCACACACAATCGTGGACACACTCTAGATTTACATATCAGTACGGGTTTAAACATCTCATCGATTGTTATTAAGGATGTAGCACTGTCTAATCATTTCTGTATTTTCTTTGATATATTAATCTCTCCTGCAGTTGAAGCTAGATCTGTGTCTGTCAAGAAGAGATGCTTAAATGAGAACACTGGTGTGCTATTTATGGAGGCTATATCTTTAAAACCAAGCATATCTGCCGACTCTGTTGATTTTCTCCTTGATTCTTTCAACTCAAAAATTAAGAGTGTAATTGATGATATTGCTCCTGTAAAAGTCAGGAAGAATAGTAGACAAAAAGCACCTTGGAGAAACTCAACAGCAGTGCAAAATATGAAAAGACAATGCAGAAAAGCAGAGCGCATATGGCGGAAGACAAAACTTGTAGTCCATTATAACATCTACAAAGACAGCATCCACGCTTTCAATAGGGAACTAGGCAAAGCCAGACAGACTTTCTTCTCAAATATTATAAACAGCAATATAAACAACACACGTACTCTTTTTGCTACTGTAGAGAGACTGACAAACCCCCCAAGCCAGATTCCCATAGAAATGCTCTCAGACAGCAAGTGCAGTGAGTTTGCTTCTTTCTTTTCTGAGAAAATTAATAATATCAGAAAGATGATCAGCACATCCTTGAGTTGCTCTGGAGTCAGTCAAATCAGACCACAATCTGTAGTTACTATGTCTGTTTTTGAAGAAATCAATGGCACAATTTTGGAAGAAACCGTACAGCACCTTAAAACATCCACCTGCGCCCTTGACACACTTCCCACATCTTTTTTTCAAAAGTGTGTTAAACTGTTTAGAAGCAGATCTCCTAGAAGTGGTAAATGCCTCACTTCGCTCTGGGAGTTTTCCGAACTCCCTGAAAACTGCAGTTGTCAAGCCCCTCCTGAAAAAGAGCAGTCTGGATAAGACCATCTTAAGCAACTATAGACCAATCTCAAATCTTCCTTTCATAGGCAAGATCATTGAAAAAGTTGTCTTCAATCAGCTGAACAAATTCTTAAGCTCAAATGGATACTTTGACAATTTTCAATCTGGTTTCCGATCTCATCACAGCACAGAGACAGCGCTCATAAAGATAATAAACGATATTCGCTTAAATACTGATACAGGCAAATTATCCGTGTTGGTACTACTCAACCTCAGTGCTGCATTTGACACTGTTGATCATGACATACTTCTTGACAGGCTGGAAAACTGGGTGGGGCTTTCTGAAATAGTCCTAAAATGGTTCAGGTCATACTTAGAAGGGAGAGGTTATTATGTGAGTATAGGGGACCATAAGTCTGAGTGGACATCCATGACTTGCGGAGTCCCTCAGGGCTCGATTCTTGCGCCACTCCTATTCAACCTGTATATGCTCCCAATGAGCCAAATAATGAGAAAGAACCAAATCGCTTACCATAGCTATGCAGACGACACACAGTTCTACTTAGCCCTATCGCCTAACGACTACAGCCCCATTGACTCCCTGTGCAAATGCATTGATGAAGTAAATAGTTGGATGTGCCAAAACTTTCTTCAGTTAAACAAGGACAAAACTGAAGTCATTGTGTTTGGAAACAAAGATGGAGTTCTCAAGGTGAATGCATACCTCGACACTAGGGGTCTAACAACTAAAAATCAAGTCAGGAATCTTGGCGTGTCTCTAGAGCAGTGTTTCCCAACCCTGTTCCTCGCGGCACACCAACACTGCGTGTTTTCTTTGTCTCCCTAATCAAACACACCCGATTCAACCCATTAGCTCATTAACCCACCTGATTATGAGCTGATGGGTTGAGTCAGGTGTGTTTGATAAGGGAGACAAAGAAAACACGCAGTGTTGGTGTGCCGCGAGGAACAGGGTTGGGAAACACTGCTCTAGAGTCAGACCTTAGTTTCAGTAGTCATGTCAAAGCAATAACTAAATCAGCATACTATCATCTGAAAAATATTTCAAGAATTAGATGCTTTGTTTCCAGTCAAGACTTAGAGAAACTTGTGCATGCTTTCATCACCAGCAGGGTGGATTACTGTAATGGACTCCTCACTGGCCTTCCCAAAAAGACCATAAGACAGTTGCAGCTCATACAAAACGCTGCTGCCAGGATTCTGAGCAGGACCAGAAAATATGAACATATCACACCAGTCCTCAGGTCTTTACACTGGCTCCCAGTTAAATTTAGGATTGATTTTAAAGTATTATTACTGGTATATAAATCATTCAATGGGTTAGGACCTCAATATATTGCAGATATGCTCACTGAATATAAACCCAACAGATCGCTCAGATCACTAGGATCACATCAGCTAGAAATACCAAGGGTTCACTCTAAGCATGGAGAGTCTGCTTTTAGCTATTATGTCAGCCGCAGCTGGAACCAGCTTCCAGAAGAGATCAGGTGTGCTTCTACAGTAGTCACATTCAAATCCAGACTCAAAACACATCTGTTTAGCTGTGCATTTACTGAATGAGCACTATACTGCTTTACTGAATGAGCACTGTGCCACTGTTTGTCCGACTGTTACTGTACATTTTATTTTCGACACTGTATTTTATTTTTATTATTATGATTTTTTTTATTCTAAACTGTTTTAATTATTCTGACTTCTTTAATTTCTTCCATGTAAAGCACTTTGAATTGCCACTTTGTATGAAATGTGCTATATAAATAAACTTGCCTTGCCTTGCCTTGCCTAGTTCATATTTCAAATCTCGAGTTCGGGTTCGGCCGGGTTCGAGTCTTTCGTTCTTCCTCTCAGTCCCATAGAGACAATAGCTGCTTTCCGACCGGAGGGACTTTTGCAGTTCCTAGAACCTAACGTTCCTATACATAGTTCCCACATGACGTCACAACATACGGGCATTTGCCGACCCGGCGCCATTGCTTAGGGCAAAACATAAGAAGAAGCAATACGAGTTGAACGAAGTGAAATGAGTTTCGTGCTATAAAGTGAAAATGGTCATCTCCTCCTGAGTCAATGGATGATAAAATCGTGCCAGAGGTTCAGTTAAATCGGGATTTTACACTATACCCGTCATTAGACTCCATGGATGTGAGAAGACTATAGCTTTTGTCCGAACAACGACGGAGATTATGGCTGGCGAGCATAAACAGGAAA